TTACTACATGCAAATGTGCTAAGACATTTAATATAGATGGAAGGCGACATCATAAAGTCTATTGCCAAACATTTTTCGCCAAACACCTCCATAAACACATTATAAGGTGTGATACACTAAAAATCTAAAATATGGTTATAATATAAACATAACAAAAATAATGAAGCTACTGAAGATATGGCTACATAACCTAAATCTCTTAGCTTTCTTTGGTTAACAAGAGTTAAAAAAATCTCTCTAATCTGTGACTCATTCACAATCATCCCACAGTTTCTGTCACCGAGTACCATAATATAACCGGAAATGCATAGATGATACCTGATTTTAAAAGTTATTCTTAGGCATTAACTTCAAACACAGGCTATCTGTTAATCTACATGCTCTATTATACCTGAATCTTATACATAATTCCGGTACTTGGCTTAATTTCCCTAGTTTATTAAATAACTTATTTGTTTTCTATTATTTTAATACAAAAGTACTTATATCTATTTGTAAACATAACCTCAAAATCATTCAGTGTATAAGGTTCACAGAAGTTCTCAGGGGTGTCCGCCAATAATATTCGTTTCTACAGTAATTTATACATAATTACGAATCTAGGAAACAATTTTTCATGATTATTGATCTTTAGGCCAAACATGTATGGAAGCTGAGCAATCTCCTTTTCATCGCGGCATTGGTCATTTCGAATTAGCCCGCTTTTATTGAGACAACTTAGCGATCGCAGTGACTCACTTATTTTGTCCATATTTCTGGGACACTGTTTTCTACGGCGATCGTTCTCCCTTCTCTCTAAACTCCTTGGTAATTACTTTAATAACAAAGAGTAGTTTTGATCCACTTGAATGGGACCTATTCTTTTTCCAAAAAATACCTAATCTTTTTCCAAAAAGATAATACTTCGCCTTGCATTTTAGTCGAGGAGAGAAGATGCGGCAGAAATGTGAGCTCTAGCCATACTCACCCTTCTGGCTTGAACTCAGAGCCCTGGAACCTTTAACTGGTGCTTCAGACGAGCAGAAAAAAAACACCACCAAATTAAAGTTTGTCACTCTTTTTCTTATTATACCCTAGTACTTTCTATTATAAAATTCTCCTAGCGCTACCTACATGCTTGCTTATTTGATGGTATTGCAAAAGTACCATCTAAGCAAGGGCGGATCCAGCTTTGGCGCTAGGGGGGGTCATATAGTCGTACTTAATTAAATATTGAAAGTACTTAAATAAAATCCCCCTGGGCTGGGTACAGATGGTCATGACCCCCTTGACCCCCCCCCCCCGGATCCGCCCTTGAATCTAAGTACATAGTTTTCTACTAGATGTCGCTGTTTTGATACAATCTGACATAATGTTTACGTGACCAGCAGTGATATTCTGTACCCTTAGCATGAACCAATATCGAATTCGTAACGTTTGTGAGTCCGAAATGTCATTGTCAAATGTGTACTGATTTTTAGTTCTCGTTGCGTACTTTGTGGCGCTGCTGTTCAAGTTTCCATACAAAATTTGACATTGACATTTCGTACTCGCAAACGATACTAATTCGATATTGGTTCGTGCTAGGGGTATAAGTACTGTACTGTAAGAACAAAAACACTTTTCACCGCGGAATTCGCATTGTAATTTTAAATAAAATACGAATTTCAATGACACCGGCGACTTCCGCTATAAAAAATAAGTTTGTTCTTACTGAATAGCACGGCAGGATTTGTGGTCCTTTAAAAACATAAGTTGGAATCTCAAACTATGCGCTTTGAATGTTTATATTATAGGTATGAGTGGAGAAATCCTCTCCCTAGTGGGCGGAGTCAGGTGTCACGCACAGCAGATCTTATCTTAGGGGATGTAACGCAGGGGTGGATAGCACTACCGGCTATATAATCAACAAACTTTATGTTGGCAGTTTTTAATTCATCAAATGTTTCTAAAATGTTTTTTTGGTGTTTTTTGTTTTCGTTTTAAACGGGTTAGGTTTGGGTTCGTAGTAAAAAGTATTTACTTAGGCATTAAGTACTATAGGCAAACCGCTTAACTGAGACCTCGCCTGCAGGGTACAGGGTGTTGAATGTGTGAGGTACAGGCGGCGGGCATATATAACACTTAACATCAGATTAGGTAGGGTGGTGCCTTAAATAATACTTAACAACTTCGTTTTTCTTACAAAATCAACAAGGATGTTTTTAATTAATTTATTGTATTTAACATTGACATTAATTAATTACTCACTTCGTTTATAAAAATGACTCCAAGGATAAGAATGATGTTAACGCAGGTTTTGTCGGTTTGCATATATAACTAACCTACTTAGAGAGTATTCTTGAGTTTCCTACGGTCGGATTCTAATTATTTGAAAGGGAATTTACTGAAGTAAATTTAATGTTAGTTAGGCACGCTATGTGATTTTAGGGTTACCTTCTTTTTTTGTGGTCTTTGCATTATAACGTGCAATATAAAGGAATTCATAAAACCAACACACAATCTACGAAGCATTTGACGCTTAAGTATAAATAAACCAAATAGGAAAACTGTTTTTATAATCTTTTGTCGCAATCATGTGGTTTAAAGGAGTTACATTACAATTTTATTAGAAGTATGTTTTCACGCCATGTTTCTTGAGGGCAAGTAAACAACGTTCAATTTTATTTAAATTGTCATATACCTACGATATTGGAATGTAGGGCCCCCGTCTGAGGAAGCAACTTGTGCCATGCAAAAGACCACAATCAAATAATTCTACCTTTTGGTGGTGGTGTGGTAAACTCGTATGCCGATGAGTAAGATTTTACAGAGCACCATGGGGTAGAACATGAGGAGGAACATGAGGAGCTCGATGGCTCAGGTGGTTAGTGCGTTCCGCTGCGATCGTTAAAGTAAAGCAACTTTAGCAGTGGTCGGTCGTAGGATGGGTGACCAAAAATTTTCTATCTCGAGTTCCTCCGTGCTTCGGAAGGCGCGTTAAGCCGTTGGTCCCAGCTGCATCTGCAGTCGTTAGCACCTGGCCAATCCGCACTGGGCCCGCGTGGTGGGTCATGGCCCAATCTCCCTATTCCATCCATAGGGAAGGCTTGTGCCCCAGGAGTGGGGACATTAATAGGCTGCTGATGATGATCATGATCATTATGGGGTAGAATAGGATATTCTAAAAAATGCACCTACTCTGGTTGGTACCTATTGCAAACGTCAACAGGCTATGGTGGCCAATCTGATTACCATCAAGTGAACCATAGGCAGGCTCACTACCGGATTTAGGGGAGGGCAACCGGGGCGAAAGCCCCGGGGCCTCCACAAACGGGGGGCCCCCACAATAGAGACTTGGGAAAAAAAAAACCTTTCAAATTCCAACTAGTAAACACTAGTAAACATCTTTTCCTTTGATATTTTTTTTTGCTCTTTTACCTTTACCTACAGCCTACAGTACTTTGTACATCTAACATACATGATTATTTGATTATATTAATCTTAAATAACAGAAATTATTGATCTATATTTGTTCACTCCAATCAGGCAATCAGTGAAATATCAAAATCTTAAATGGCCCTGATAAGCACTTCCAATTCACTACCCATCTTGAAGGAGTACCCCAATCGCTTAATGGCTGAGTGGGGTGGTACTTGCCCGCAGGGCCGAATTTAAGGCAGGGCAGGTGGAGCTGTGGCCCAGGGGCCTTCCACAACAGCTTAAGAAATAACAACATTTCGATGGGTTAACAAGAATACAAATCCTAAGTGGCCCGGGGCCTCCACAATCCTAAATCCGGCCCTGGCAGGCTTGTTAAAAAAATCATGCCAGTTTTTTCTTTAATTGATTGAGACAGCTTGATATCCGGGATATCAACCAGGAAACTACCTAGTGATGGGAGATGTCAATCTTTCGTCTACGGTAGTTACAAAGCTAGCTACCCTGCACATTCAACGACTTTTATTTTTTACTATATTGCAGCTGGTATTTTTTTCTTGTAATAAGTTATTATATTTAAAATATGAACAGTAGTTACTGCGAAGTCGATGAATAAGTAATAAACCTTATTATGATGACTGTCCCTACCCTTCTTGGTAAACGACAATAATGTATGTGTCGTAATCAATTAATCGTATAGTGGGTTCGGAAAGCGCGCACGCACGCACGCAGCGCCAGCAAAGTTCTCGTGCGAGGGATCACTAACTTAGTCAGCCAATTACTTCAGTGTTCTTCGTCCGAAGCCAGACGGCGCAATATGTTAACATATTTTTTAATTTGTTCACCTGACAGCCAAAGAAGCAATCGCGAGTTCATGCGCGCAGGAGTGAGATTTATAATAAGAAAACGCTCCTACCGCGCATGCACCTTAAGGATCTATAAATCTTTAAAGTACTGCATCGGCCAATCCCTGTTGAGAAACGATAAATCATCCCCGCGGACAGTGAAGTCGAATGGAATACGATCGCCCGTCCTGCTCCCACTGGTTGGTCCTTGCACCACTTTACATCATTTATCATTTCTGCATCTCGCTCCTTCCCAATGATAAATTCAATTCTCTTTTGGAATATGATTGTTCCTCGTTTTGTTATTGTGGTGTTTTATTGGGGATATCGTCACGGAGTACGTTTTTTGATCGCAGTCCGATCGAAATGATCGCGAGAATTGGATTTCCATTTTAGATTTGGTGCATCGACCGATCAATCTTGTGGCATTCATCCATCGATCGATATTGTTGTTTACAACTATCGATTCGAGAAAAAAAGTATGCATTGTTATGGGATTTCAAATAATCATATCGTCCTTGTTTTCACATAAATATGTTGATAAGGTAAGGAGCTTTTTTAAAATGTACTGTAATCTTATTTCAAAACCAATAAAATTTAGGTAGGTAGGTACCTAACCTTAATTTTATTAGTTTTGAAATTGTAATACGGCTTTATTGTAAGTATCTCTTTGCAGGCATTCAAATAATGCTCAGAGAGTTGTTTGATGTACTTGACGTATTCTACAAAATCAGACTAATAAAAATGCCTTTTGAAATTGAAACATGTTTTTTTTCTTTATTTCTCGCTATTTACAGGCCTGTAGAAAAGACAACGTTTTGTTCTTAAAATAACTTAAAATACAGCGTGCTTTTCAGTCATTTATTTACAATATTAATAGTTATCATAGACGCAGGTTCATTTTTTCTTCTCTCATAAAATGTCCATTCGTGAAAAAATAGTATACTACTATGAACATATACATTATAATCATAAAACTCCAGGATTAGATAGCACAATAGTTTGTAGCAACTACACAAGTAATTTACAATAAAATCAATCACTTATTCCTATTATCACTGGGCATTTATAATTTATTTTATACACGACCTTATTGTAAAGTATCTTAAGTTTATTTATTATATTACACTTGTACAACCTATAAATTGTAGTTTATTAGACTTCGGTGCTTTGGCCATGCTGATATATATGTATAAGATATAAGGCTTCATTTCGAACTTCAATAAGTTACTAGTAGAGGAAATTAGTTACCTTCCAAACTAACCTATTAGCTGTTTGCAATATCTCGTTAATTTTCACGCATCTCATAAATTTCACATCGTAAGATCTATTTATTATTAGAATAGAAATCTATTATACAACAATACGATTGTTTGTACATCAGTGCTTACACTAAACAAAGGCTGTAATAAATCACTGTCAGCAATGCTGTTGACAAAAATCTACTCTCTGTACATTGTTAGTGTCCCGAGACATCACAAAGGTTCCAAGGATCCTAACGGACAATACCCATAGACATTCACCAAATTAAAGGACGTATTCCAACAAAACCTTGTTTGTTTACCAGAATATATGACACGGACGCTCAACTAGTGGTCAATTCATTGTCTAACGCATGTCGTAAACAACAGGCTGATTCGACACGTACCCCTTATTGTAAATTCTATATTGTATTCTCTCAAATAATTCTCTAGTGACATTCAGTAGGATCCATTAATTAAAACTTTAGGACGGCTGTTGTCTATATAGGATGGTCAGATCACGTACTGACTAATAAGTAAGTATAATATAAATAAGCGTAATGTACTTTAGAAAGCACTGAACGGACGCGCTTTAGCGAACTTTTCATTCCACGGCTAAACCTATATTCTAATGCTTGGAACTGTTACGGCGTGAGCAAAGTGACAGCGTTGCTTATCGTCGAATGAAGAGTTCCCTAAGCGCGGTGCGGTCAGTACGCGGCGGCGGCGCCGGAGTGATGCATCAAGTGGTGATGGTGGTAGGACTCTTGGGAGGGACACCACCAGTCGGGTACTCCGTGCGGGACCGTCGGCGCGGGCTGTTGGAACTGGGTCCAATGGCCGCCGAAGCCGAGTTTGTTGTCCATGCCGCCGTTGCCTCCAATGTTGGTAAGGTGAGGCTGGTGTTGATGCGGCGGTACCGGCAGTCGCTCATAAGGCTTTTGTTCGTGCGGGTTGAGGTATTTGTCGTTGAGGCTTTCTAGTTTGTCGGTTATGGAGGGATGGTGGTGGTGGTGCGGGGGTGGGGCAGGCGCGGGTGCGGGAGGGGGTTGGAGCGGTGCTATCGGACTGGCGGCTCCGGCAGTGACGCTGACGCTGCCTGCTGACGAGGAGTCATCGCCGTCGCTGTCGTACCGCGGTGACGCGTCGCCAGCAGCGCCGTGCACCTTCATATGCTTGCGCAGCGATGATGGGTGCGTGTACGACTTGTCGCAGCCGTGGACGCGGCAGTTGTACGGTTTGTCCGAGGTGTGAACATGTGAATGCTTCTTCCTATCTGAGGAGTTGGCAAAGCGCCGATCGCAGCCAGCGTACTCGCATTTGAATGGCTTCTCACCTGAAAAGATACAGAAAATGAATTTAAAAAAATAATACTAAGTTTCTATATGTAATTTTCCCATACAACAATTGAAAGGAAAATAATACACCAGCTGCTGCTAACATTTTTACGACCGCACGCAGAGACGCCAAATTAATTTAAAATCACGAGTTGTCATACATACGTATTTAGAAAAGTCAAATTAATTTAATGCTGCATTAAGTCACGTTATGTCTCATTCTATTGTTGCAAAAGAGTGACAGCTTCAACTTTAATCACACTTAATTGATATCGGCTTTTCTGTGAGTGCGGCCTTAAAATTGTTATCTGTGCAAAGAAAGAGCCTGAGTTCAAATGTTAATGTGATATATTTAGAATTTCTCATTTTGCACAAACTAGGTGATAGTAAGATAGTTTTGAAAATATTGACAATTTAATTCTTAATCTAAATATAAACATCTAGCAGTTAAATGCTTAAAAAATTAAATGTAACAATTTAGGTAAGTCTTTAAAGCTTTCTGTTTTCATGTGAAGTATTTTTCTGTTTGATTTTTGTTGCATGATTTGTGTGTACATATGATATCATATTATTTAATAAATTATCATGTCCTAATCTTATGAACATTCTATAGCTAAACAAACAAAACCACTTATATTTCGATATCTATTTAGATATTACCTATAACCCTAATTAGAAGTGAAATAAAGTCTCTGAAATGAAATAATTCAATCGTCATAAAAAATAAATCCGCAACCGTTCCATTTCTTTCTCTCACCGATATCTGAGAATAAAGCGAGCGCTCTCCAACCGAACGCGAATGTCCAATCACACCATAAATAACGAGATTTGCTCGTTGTTTATAGTTTACGAGTACAAATAAATAATCACAACAATTGCACGGGATACTTAACACACTCATAAATCATATTTATAAGAAGACTTTGTCACATTGCTGTAACAAAGCAGCTGTAGCGCAACTAAGTATATTCGACTTTAATTACTAAGGCAGAAGGTTTGTTATCGTTCTGTGGTTTTCGGTGGATCCTGATGGTTATGCCAAAAGCCCGCATCCGCTTTACGGCATCACAGGAGGATCGAGGTGAACAGTCATACTAATCCTCTAAGTTAAGTGTTAACTATCGGAACGGGAACAGCTTGAGTTACATCTTCACCTTTATAATCGGTTTCACGACTCACAATGGATTATTCAAATAATAAGGAAGGCAGGTATTTGGGTTGATTAATTTAATTTGACGCTCGATGGCGCAGTAGGTTAACGCGTTCGGTGGGCTATCGTTAAAGTTAAGCAACTTTCGCAATGGCTGGTCATAGCATGGGTGACCAAAAATACCTAGAGCTCCTCGGAAGACACGTTAAGCCGTTGCTTTTAACTATATCTGGGAGAGAGAGAGAGATTTTATCGACCACATTACATTAAAAATAAACAATCAAAAAAATAACACTTTGAAAGTATTTATAGGTAAAAAAAGACTACATATCATTTGTGGTTTGCGGTCAATCAGGACCCTGCCTCAGCAGCATAATGCTGCCGCAACACGCCACAAAACATGTCACAGCAGCGCTGGTATTCTGGTTGGGCTGGACATCTGTAGTCATTAGCACCTACCAACCCGCACTGAGCCCGCGTGGTAGCTGAAGGCAAAATCTCCACATTCCATCTAAGTATAGGGAGGACGTGTGCCCCAGAAGTGGAAATATATATAAACTTTAATTTTGTAAGTAAATAAAAATATTGAGTCGTATTCCTAGGTAATATAAAAAGGAATTCGTAAATATCAATATTATGTTGGATATAATAATGATCAAAGCATAGCCGTTAGATATACCTAATAAATCAACATGAGTTTTTTTCTTAACTATGTAGTAGGTATGGTATCGTCCGATTTTTTGCGCACGCAAATTTTTTTTCTACATCGTTTTCACGTACTCCGACGGGTCCTTCACGAGTTCACCGAATCGTATGACTGCAACATTCAATGAGTACATTACTAGTAGGTTTGGCCAGTGTGATCGCACACAATAGTCTTTTTATTGTCGTGTTTACAAATAACTTCTCCATAATCCTTACCATTGTTGGAATATGAGCCCTGAGCACAGATGCTAATCTCAAGTGTCCGTTAAAGTGCTTATAATAGAGCTTTTTACGCGATCCCTCACCGCAACTTTTATTATAGCCGATACTCAATGAAATCACACATCGTCAGATCATATTCAATAGTGTGATACTTCCTTTGAGTATGGCAACTATCGATAAAAAAAAGTTATAGTATGCGAACCGCCTTCAAAGGTCTCGTGAAAGAAAGTACGTATTATTTCGGAGATATTTCAATGTTTGTATCAGATCATTTAGGTTTATAATCCCCGTGAACGATGTGGTTGTATCGTATTTAACCATGTGTATGAACATTATGATTCATTCTCCGTGCTTCCATTTAAGAACGCTTTGAGAATTTTTTGATCAAAATGTTTTTTGAACAGTATAAGTTGTAAGGGTTTATTTGTTAAATAAATTTTACCTATCTACAGACACCTTAAAGTTAGTAGGTAAGGTAAGTACACCGAAGAGATAAATATCGGAGAAGACTTCACGAGTCATTGAATCGATCGAATCAAATAAAATACGTTGACAGACATCGGCTGCGTCTGTCTCGCAGCGATTTGATAAAAACAGCTCTCGTTTCGAGCCCTAATGAGCTAAACGCGGGACAAGCTGGAAACATGTGTCGCCCGCCTAATTACTAATCGGAACATCTCGGCATCTCTGCGGACGTCGCACAAAAACGCCACTAACAAACGTTATTAGGCTGCGATGCGTTATCTACGCACGCGCGACAGCGATCCGTTTGTTTTGACAAATAACTCTGGACCTTTTTAATTGCATATCTTTACGTTTTCTTTTTTTTTCACTTTCTTCACCCAAGCAGATCACCAGTTTACAGTGTTTATTCCTCACATAATCTAGTATGTCTTTATCAATAGTATCTAAGTAAGCTAGGTAGCTTATGTTTCATTATCATTGGTTATCATTAATCACTTATTAGATTTATTGAGATAATATCATCAATTCTTTGAATACCCATCCCTGGCAAATTACCGAATGACAGAGATTAGGTCATCAGTGAGCCAACCCATCATGGGTTAAGCTATTATATGAATATTGAGATAAAAAAGGAAAGTATTGTTATTTTCACAAAAGTAGTCCCACAACACTGGATGATTAAAACAACTCAATTTTGAGATGACCCTGTTGTAGTTGTCCCATTGATATCGTAGTTTGTAAGTCAGTACATTTTTTTAGTTTGTTATTAATTGATGATTGTCGACTAAATTCATGAAAAACATTTAGATTTTTAGGTAGGTACATCGTTTTCTGCTTATTTCAATATAAGCTATCGTACAGGTCTTGATTTAAATGTTGATAATTATATTTATTCTGTTTTTTTGAATTACCAGCTTGCATGTTACTGCCATATCACTTATTTTTTATTATTCTTAACATATTTAGTGAGACAATCTAAAAGAAAGAACATGAGCAAAGAATGCGCTTCGTGAATTCGTCGCATGCCCGCCGGGACACGGATAGGGTCAGATGTTTATCTTAAACGGCTGTATCACCCACGGGAGACACTTTTTTGTGTTAATATCGACGTGAAACTTTATCTTCGGCTTGTTCAACCAAAGCGTATTTGACGGCTTAAATCTTTGATAGGATTTAAAAAGATCGCTTTTGACGTTTTGTTTAGTAGCACGGTAGTCCAACGTAGTCACTTTTTTGTGAATTTATGATTAGTTGACAAAGGTTTTGTGTAACTTTTGTGAACACATTAGCTACTACAAAAGCCTGTTTTTCATAACACACTTCATCTACAGACATTTGGCAAGCATTTAAATAGGTAAATCAAAGTATGAAACACCATCTACGTAAAAATACATTACATTACTCATATCAAGTTGTAATAAATTATGCGACGTTACAGTAAATAAACGAATAGTTGGCATACTGCCTAGCCCGAATTATTCCAAAGCATCAAGTTACAAAACTCTACTTAAGAGCGTTCCACTGAGAAAACAAGCTTTTTAGAAATAGCACGAGTTGGTGAAATCCGATGCCGCGGCCTTTGCACTCAAATTGTAGTAAATGGCTTCGGGTGAGTTTTGAGAAAAAACAATCAACTATTACCACATATCAAGTTCCACTGTATTAGGAGACTCATAAACAGATATTTATTGCCGTACTTTTAAGTGAACATTGGTGAATTTACCAGTTCTGCTACTGCGTTGGGTGTCATCACCTTGAATTATAATTGGTTGATACTTGATCATTGAACACCTGTTCAGCAGATATAATATCAAACTCGCTATAAATACCTACACAGAATTGAAAATAATTTGATGAACTCAAAATGTCACTCGTGCCTTAGAAAGAATAACAGCTGTATTTATGCCACAGAAAAACTGATGAGTAGAATAAAAGTTAAAATATCAGACCATTAGTGTGCATTACTTCTACAGAAATTCTCTGAATAAATTGTTGAATAGTGACAACGCATTAACTGGTACGGTCTGCTAATATATCAATTATATTTTTTTGAAAAATTGGTGCGGCCGGAGCATTGTTTCGGTTTATTAAATGCCATGGAACAACATATCAAAGTTAATTCAATCTTCGACAGACAGCCAGCAAATGAGCGGCCGATGACTGGCCTTTTATTGATATAACGTTCGACCGCAGACGAATAGCGTGCCTTATTAGGTTGACCTAATAATCACCACACTCGATGACTCTAATACCGACATAAACGCGGATTAATTAATATTCCCATAAAGAATGACTTACGACTTCCTTCACTAGAAGTATGAACCTAGACAAACTCAAAGAGCCTCTTCACATCTGTCACAATAATAGCTGATTGACGACAATTCCCCGAAAACCGATTTTCTCTCGCATATTTAAAAGGAATTTCGTACGGCGCACATAATGATTTATGATCCTCCT